GACAAGGCTTCTTTCTGCCTCCTTTCCATTCAGAAAGGGTGCATCTTTCCAGTGCTCACATAACCACAAAAACAGAAAGTGCAGGAAGGCCTCAGATGCACATTCACCCTTAAGAATGAAACATGAACAGAAGAAGGTGCTGAGCGCTTTGATGCTTATGTAAGAGATGGCACAACTTGACACACGGCTTGGTTTTGGGGAGATCTCCACGCATTTCCAGTGCAATCTGCAGTTTTCAGACAGTGAAACTTAAGAGGCCCGGCTGCTTATGCAAAACCAAGCATCTAGACATTCATCTTGCTCACAAAAGTGAGCTACAACAGGATGCATTTTTCCCAGATTACTGAAAGCAAAATCCAGATTTACCAAATGAACTTCTCTTCTGAGCTGCATCCACACTTCACTGGATGGAGCAAACATTCATCTGAGTTCTCATTGGGAAACCCTCACCTCACTAAGCTAAATGCTTACTCAGCATCTTGTTTCAGGAGGTGTTTTGTTGCTATTGACCTCTTTTTTCCATGGCTCTCAGTACCTGGCAGATGATCATCTGATGCAGCGTTCCTGAGATGCAGGAGGGTCTGGGCCTCTGATGTGGCATTATTGCGATTTAAAAGGTTCTGGGCTTCCTCATCTACAACATCCAGCAGATACTGAACGACTTCATTGTGGTCATCCTCATCATAATACTCATCATCTGGAATCTCTGTCCCTAAAAGGAAATGGCATGAAACAAGAAGTTTTTACAACAGAGAACGGGGCGGGGGAGGGAGGGAAGAGGGCAGACACCAAGAAGAACTCCAAGATCATCTTTTTAAGGCATAAATTCCATCTGTTACTATCTTCTTCCTTCACTTCCCTCCCATAAGGGATCTCATTTCTCTTTCTCCAGCAGAGCACAGCACCTGGAGATGAGCTGCTAAAACTGACTGTCAGCCTAACATCAACTCCATTGAGCCTATTCAGCAGTGCTACTGCCTTCCTTCTCTTGTACTGTGAATTAAAAACTGAATAATGCTGCCTTGGGCACATCTCTTCTTACCTGACTTGTCACTGTGCTTAGGCAAATCTGATATCTGATTGGTAAAGCCAAGGGAAGGGACATCTCTACACCCTGTGAGATTCATTAATCCTTTTGTTTGATGAATATTAGTTTCCGTATTTGCAGGAGACACTTCAAGGATGCCATTGCCATTTACCTAACAGAGCAAAGCACAGTAAATAATAACTTTTTAGGAGATTGCCATTTTATTTTAGTAACAAGCAACCCTTAACAAACACAGGACTACTTATCAAACAATAAAAAAGAATCATAGTAATTTCATATCTGAGACAGCTTGGCTGGAAAGGGCAGAATTCCACCTAC